ATGTCTGCTACATTAATGGCGAATGGGTCAAGGCCGCTTCGGGCAAAACCTTCGAGGTTCACGATCCCGCAACTGGAAACCTCATCGGTACCTGTCCCGAGTTCGACGTGAAAGACACCGAGAAGGCGATTGCAGCTGCCGCCGAAGCATTCAAGACCTTTCGCTACAAGACAGGTCGCGAACGATCCAAGCTACTGCGAAAGTGGTATGATCTGGTCATGGAGAATTCCGAGGATTTGGCGACGTTGATCACGTTGGAAAACGGAAAGCCTTTTGCCGACGCCAAAGGCGAGGTCAACTATGCTGCTCAATTCTTCGAGTGGTTCAGCGAGGAAGCCCCGCGTACGTACGGCGATTCGATCCCGGCGACTGTCCCCGGCAATAGGGTGGTGACTATCAAGCAGCCTGTGGGTGTTTGTGGTTTGATCACTCCATGGAACTTCCCCGCCGCCATGATCACACGAAAGATCGGCCCCGCCCTCGCAGCCGGCTGCACCACAGTATGTAAGGCGCCGGGTGAAACACCGTTCACGTCCTTGGCGCTAGCGGAGCTTGCACACCGGGCTGGGATCCCCAAGGGTGTCGTGAATGTGGTGACGGCCTTGGAGAACACGCCCCAGATCGGCGAGACTTTGACGTCGCATCCTACCATTCAAAAGGTCTCCTTCACCGGCTCGACACAAGTTGGAAAGCTTTTGATGAAACAAGCTTCTTCCACATTAAAAATCCTATCAATGGAGCTGGGAGGAAACGCGCCCTTTATCGTTTTTGACGACGCGGATGTCGACGCTGCTGTTGCCGGTGCCGTCGCCTCCAAGTTCCGCTCATCGGGACAGACCTGTGTCTGCGCGAATCGTATATATGTCCAGAAGGGCATATACGACGAGTTTGCCCAGAAATTCGCAGAAAAGGTCAAGGGCTTCAAAGTCGGACACCCCTTTGACGAAGGTATTACTCACGGACCTCTAATCCACGACCGGGCTGTCTCCAAGGTCGATGGACACGTAAGGGACGCGGAAAAGAAAGGTGGAAAGGTTGTCGTGGGAGGGCAGAAGTTGCCCGACCTTGGTTCGAACTATTATCAACCTACCGTGATTACGGGCATGACGAAAGACATGGCTATCGCTTGTGAGGAGACGTTTGGCCCCGTTGCCGGACTCTTCCCCTTTGAGTCGGAAGAAGAAGTCGTCGAGTTGGCCAATGCTGCCGAAGTCGGGCTGGCCGGCTACTTCTTCTCCAGAGATCTGGAGAGAATAACACGAGTGGCCGAGGCTCTAGAAGTTGGCATGGTTGGTGTCAATACAGGTCTCATCTCCGACGCAGCTGCACCATTCGGAGGCGTCAAACAGTCTGGATTCGGCAGGGAAGGCTCGAAATACGGCATCGAGGAGTACCAGAGCATTAAGACCATCACATATGGCGGGATGGGAAAGCCATTGCAACGCTAATAATATGGAGCGCTAGAAGGATACGGGTAAATATGATGACATGTACGGGTCAATGCGTTGACATGTTCCGAGAGCTTGCCATCTTTCTTATAGGCGATGGAAATGAAAGAGCAAACTGTGATTTTATTGTATAGCCGAACTTGTGATTCAACATACCATGATGAATCATTTATAGTTTACCCTCGAGGCTTTCAGAACCTTTACACCTTCGTGATATGTACTGTAACCTTTATCTGTATGGAATTCGTTACGAGTACGTGTAAGCTATCAGTGCAGTTGAGTGGACCCTTTTATATGAAACTCTATATTCCATAACACCCACTTTATTGCATGACCCATAAAATCCCAATGTCCGAGCTTCAATTGGGCAACCTTCAAAATTTCCAGCCGAAAGAAGCTCAAGAAACCTCCGGATGCCATTTAACTCAACATAACCCTAGCTCCCCATGATACGTCAACCCTTCCATTCGGCCATTGGCCGCGCGAGGCCCGACCTCGAAAGGGTCACCGATGGCATCACAAGCACTCTACGCGCCTTCTCTACCGCCCAAAGACTCTCCGCCGACAACAACAACAACAACAACAACAGCAATAATCCGACCGGCCGCCAACGCGCCGCTTCCGCCTTGAACGAGCTGATGAAACCCGATAATAGAATGACAAAGACAAGGCCGGTAGAAAACAATAACAACAAAAACAACAACAACAACAACAACAACAACAGCAGCATGCCGGTGTCGGCTCACAAGTTCTTGTCGCTTGACCTCAAATCCGATAACCCTGCCCAGATTATCAAACCTACCACTGCCGCACCCAACAGACCGACGAATGGTAACGGGCCGAAAATCATCCGTGGTGGTTTCAGAGGCGGTTTCAGAGGAAGAGGAGGAGGAGGAGGCGGCGGTTTCGGCGGCATGGGTGCAGGAGGAGGAGGAGGAGGATTCAACGCCACAGATTCGGGACGCGGACGCGGACGGGGTCGAGGCGGTCGTGGTGGAAGAGGTGGTCGTGGAGGACGAGGTGGTCGCAGACGCGATGACACGGACGCGGAAAGGATGGAGCGGGAATATGGTGAAGCCGTCGAGATACCCGAGACCCGAGAAGTGATCGCCTGGCGGGCGGAGCAGACTATGGGCAAGGAGATCAAGTGGGATCCCACGGTTTCCAAGAAAGACTTTACCGGTTACGGTGTAGTCGGCCCTGTCTCGCGGTCGGAATTCGCGCAGAGCGAGACAGTATTGCGACAGGCGCGTGTCCTAGGCGGTGGGGAATTCTTCCATCCAGACCATACGCTGCATCCGAAAGAGATGCGGGAGCGGCTCGACGGCAATGGTTTGTTCTTGCCTTCGGAGGAGGCAAAGGAGTGGTCTAAGCAGACGCTGGGCGTCGAGGAATTGCACCCCAATAAGGAGACCAAGGATGCGGTTCTGCAGGCTACGCTCCTGGGCCAGTATGATGGGCCGGAGTACGCTGAGAGGACGGATACGCTCGGTACCGTGATGAATTATGTCAAGAGAGATGCTTCATGGCATGCGGATGCCAGACGACGCATCGCGGCGAAGATTAGCAGTTTATTGCCTGGCGGGAAAACGGCAGCCGCAAGCAAAGTTAGCGCGGGCCCGAAAGCGTGAAGGGGAGGGAATATTTCGACTGGGTTTCTGGCTAGGGCTGTACCAACAACAAACAAACATGGGGGAGGTGGGAAATGAAATACCTACTCAAGAGAGAATGAAACGCAAGTGGCATATCTAACAAGATTGCGATTCTTGTTTTTACTGTATTATACACACAACTTTCATGCTGAAGACGAAAGAAAGCCTTTATATAATGTACATGTATAGATACATACAATCAAGTGGTATCCTTTTCTCGTAGTTCCCTCTAGGCAAGGTAGAGCATGGTGTTTTCACGTTGCAGGATCTCAACACAAAACAACCCTGTTCTGCTAAACAAGACCCATACAAGCAACATAACAACAGCCCCCCCCCCCCTCATTTCGACTCAACCGACTTGAGAGCCTTCTTCTCAGCCTCATCAACCTCCGTAACAGCACTCTTAATAACCTTCTCCAGCGCCTTATCAGCCGTCCTCTTCAGATCCGGCCCCAAAGTACCATCCTTCTTCCACGTCGCATGCGTCTTATCCCTCTTCTGTCTAACAGCCCTTATCCGTTCCCGCCACTCGTGCGCCGTAGCCTTCACTTTACGAACCACATCCTCTCGCTTCTCCGGCTCGATCTTGATGATCAGCTCCAGCTCGTTATCCGGATCTCTCTGGGGTTGCTGGTTGAAATCCGCGCTCTTCTGCACCGCGCTCATGATGTGCTTCACGTACTCCGCGTCGTGAACGAGCAATGAGACGGCCCGACCGCCGCGCGGCACTACCTGCGCCAACTCGCGCAGCGGATACGTGAGTCCTTCGTCCTTGTCGACGGTGACGCGCAACCCGCCAATCACGTCCGGATCGAACCGTCCGCCCATATTGAGCTTCTTGAACGAGGCCTGGAAGTGGTCGGCATGTTTCCTCAGACGGGACTCTACGTCGGCGAAATCTAGAGGTTCTTCCGGGTTCGGTTGGGGATGTTTCGGTCCTCCTTCGTCTGCTGGGGCTGCCTGTTGTGGTTGTTGTTGTTGTTGTTGTTGTTTTCGCTCCTTATTGTTGTTATTATTGTTGTTCTTCTTGTAAGAAGTAGACGACGCGTGGAAGAATCGCTGGGATAGCGGGCGGCGGCAACTCAAGGTAGTGGTTGTTGCGCTGGGACGTGTGACATTGTATTTTCTTGGATTTCGTTAGGTTGTTAGCTTGAATGAAAGTCGTTGGGGAAAGGGCCGACCGGTTGAAAATAACACACATTATCCTAGACGACACACCTATCCTCGGCGCAGACCGCCGTATACTGCATCTAAGTAATGTGCGGGCCGTTGCGTTACTCATGATGTAGCTATGTATCTTGAAATGTTGTCTATTATGTATTACCAGCTAAACACGGCTTCAAACCTTCCCCAGTTATCTACTTGTCGAATCTACAGATAAACTTTGGGGTTGAGGCGCACCCCTTGCTCGATACATACACGTAGAACCCCTACCTATAAAAAGTAGCACCTCGTACTCAGGTACCCCACAAAAGGCAGATGAACTAAAAGATGAGGTGAGAGAACAACAGAAACCTGTAAGTGTAATTTATGTTTCACATATTGGCATTGACAATTAAAAAATATAGCAAAACGTAAGCCAGTCGCTTCTTACAACATCTCAATTACCATGAATTATTAGCTTTTGTCCATAAAGGTGCAATGTATATACCTAGCTACCCAGATAATGACCAACATGGGATATGTACACGTACAGATCTGAAAGAGGATCTTATGTGGCTGAATGTGGCTGGCTCGACAGCATATCTGCAAACCTAAAATGATCTCCATCTGGCAGACCGTTTGCTTGTACTAGGTACCGGACTACTTGTACGCATGGCTTTGTTTGTAGGAAAGGACAGAGGAAAAAAGAAATCATGTTCTTCTTAATCTTCAAAAAGATAAGGATCATTAAAAGATATGTTCGTGCCCGGGGTCGAACCGGGGATCTTCTGTGATCTCAACATATCTAGAATCAGACAAGTTGTAAGACAGACGCCCTAACCACTAGGCCACACGAACTGGGATGAATCTCGGATTGGTGAGATTGATGCCAAGATGGTTGCCAAATGGGTATCACATACTGTCGAATTTGGAGCTGACATCTCGCAGGTTCTTTGCGTCAAGTGTGGAAAACTCATGCAGACTGCCGTTCAAGACTCAATTTTTGCTATATGCGTACAGCATGGCCGCATCGATACACGTACCAACCCAGCTTAGAATGAAGAGGGCACCACGATCGTTAAGGAACGGGTTCGGAGATGGACATCTGCCATGCCTGATGTCGTCACAGACGGGCATTTAATTAAGCAATAGGTAGGTTTTCATCATGTTACCCGGCATCTACATCTCTAATTCCACACAACTTGCATCTGCGTTCATGATACTGCATGTAAACCCCCCTTGTCGGAATGCCTCCTGGTTAGACCTACCTTTTATATATCAACTAGATGCCTTGCAAAACGTATCACCACATGGGAAAACAAACCCTAAATCTTAGCACACATGGCGCACAACATTGCTCCGTGCCGTAGAACAGCACATCAACCGGTCTGGCTTAAACAATGGTTCTCCCTAAAAGCTTGCAGAAATACTGCGCGAGTTGGCGGTAAGGGCGGCGGTTATTTCGCAACCAGATTACGCAGGTATGTATCTTCCATTCCGTTCACAACCATTGCCGATGAGATGCAGCCCATGATGTTACTGCATTAGGAAGAGAAGAGAAGAGAAGACAAGACAAGAGAAGACGAAGAAAGCACATACCTAAAAGACTAGGTTAGCTGACCATGACGACCTTGCCTTGTTATTCGTGCTGGGTAATGTAGCTACAGTAGTGAGCTAACCAACCCAGCAATGCACATGTAACTACGAGCCGCCCCGGGAGAGAGGGGGAGGATTGCTACGGCCAATACATGCATGCCTCCATGGAATACCTAGCCAGCCTGAGTGGTGACAGGCGTATACCCAGATCTTGTCTCTCTAGATCTATGTATCATTGGTGTGACGTTTAATTCAAGGAGAAATCGGTACGGAAGGAAAACATCTCCAGTAGGAACTGTGAGTGCCTCATCAACCTGTAATCCTCTTTTTCCGAATGCCAGCAAACGACTTACAGATCGACAAAGCTTAAGCCACAGTACCGTGATTTTCATATAACGGATCGACCTCTGTTTTGTGTCATGTATGGTACATTTCGCCTTCATCTCGACAATCTGTGTTCGCAAGTTACGACCAATACGGATGCGGCCCCTCGTCTAAGCAACGCGAAGTAGGTAATTCAATTTCAAGCCACAGTTGGGGTGAATTTGAATAATTGGCTGTCGTTGTCCAATGGCATCTACAAGCATTTCAATGTCAGTAATGAACCTGGAGCTCCCCCTTCCTCGATCCCAGCCCAGGTACCTACATCTTGACCAACTCGCAGAGAACCCAAGGGACCAGGTCCCGATCGAGGGTAACATTTAAACTTACTTAAGAGGTATTCGCTCTTCTTCATCGGTGACACCTGCCAGCATATAGTTTGAAAAGGTATTAAGTACATACATTAGGTAGATACATGTACGCATGTAGAAGTAACGATCCTTGCTCTAGCCAAAAAATTAAGGAAGGCAGGGCACAAGGCAAAACATATAACCATCGACCACTCAAACCCGAATAGGTCGAAGAGCTTTATTCCGTATTGGCCAGTTACATCTTCCGTGACGTAAGATGAGGTAGAGTCCGAACACTCGGTAGAAGGCAACATCTTGGGCCGTATGAAATTTGGCATCTGCAAGAACCTCAATATGTGGCGCTTGGGCACCTACATTGCCTAAGGTACCTGGTCAGAGGAAGACTCCGAGTTTCTCTTTATTAACATGGCAGGCGGGCCATAAATCAGAAATGCTGTGCTCCTCCCCATCTCTCTCATCCCCTGGGAGCGCGCAGGATCTTGTCCATCTCTCTTTCCTCCCATGTCCCAAGGTCGTACACCAAGTTACTTCATCATAGACTCTCCTCCATTCCATACCTATCCCCGTCAGTCTCACGTTGGAAATGTTAAGTACTTGGCGTCTGAACTCCAAGAGTGGAAACGAAACGCAAAGGCAGGGATTTGATCCAGTGACCGCCAAACCAATCGTTCAGCAGGCATGCCAAAATTGTAGAGTCAAAAAGGTATGAACTCCGCCGTTCCTTCCTACCGTCACTACAGATTCCGAGGTGGCAGGGATTGACCATCTTTTGCAGCTCAGGTGCAGCGGTGAAAAGACTGGATGTTGTCGTTGCAAGACATTGTCACGGGATTGTGTATATGCTCAAATTGGCACCAGGGGGCCCAGACGCTCTCAGAAGAACAAGGAGCATGCTTCTAGACCACAAGAGGGTACACGGGCAACATCACGGCAATTGTTGGTATCGCCATGTAGGCGAGTGAACACATCGCCAACCCCTTTAGAACCTACAATCCCCATCGCGCCTAAAACCCTGCCCCCCCAAGCCGATAAACCTCTGTCTGCCTCGAATGGGCCAATCTCTGAAACCCCCATGGCTGCGGCTCAGTTCGAAACCCCAGGGAATATAATGTCGCTGGATTTTGATATACCTCCTCCTGAAGCTCTGGACTTCCTTCCAGCGCAGAGCCTGACCGCGGTGCAGATGACTACATCTGCTGAGTCCTGGCCAGTGTCTTCTTGGGTCGTGTCTAGTCAACAAGATCAAGTACCACAATCTGAAATCCCACGGAATAGCGAACCCCCAAGCTCGTCGATAACGTCACCTTCTTCCACGCTAATGGATAGATGGTATGCCACGGCTCCCTACTACGAGGACGCTCCTCTCATACGTATTTACAGCCAGTCGGTCTACTTTTCAGATGCTCAGACGAACATGACCTATCCGTCCGCTCAGGTAGTGGCCAGCAACCAGTGCGGTCCTATGGGCCACAGCTCGCCGCTTACGTACGTTGACGAGCCCTGCCAAACCCTCCAGCAAACGATATTAATCCTTGAAAGGTTAGAAGACGGCGGGGTCGATGGTAACGACACTGGCATGGCTGTGTGGGCCCCAAGGCACGAAAAGGTAGTCTAGTGCAGTGAGAGGCGACTGCCCTACCCACAAGCCGAACCGCAGCAGAGGACAATACTTGGCCATTTTATGATTTCCTAGGGAAGTGGGGGAGAGGGGGCGGGTTCGAAGAGGCGAACCCGATGATAGGAGCGTAGATGCGCTCTCGATGCTCTGGTGGTGAGATCTAGAGGTATGGTGTGAAGTTAGGACGTCCAATTTTATGGGCTCTTCCGCAGAGGCCAACTTCGTGCCTGGACCCTAGCTCCGTATAGTAGCTTATCTTTTGGTCTAACGGATTTCAGGTTTCGGTTCCCCTTAAGACAGAATGTTGGCGCGTTGAATGAACAGCACAGCTGAGCATATCTATATATAAGTCTATAAAAGTGAGCAGAGTATGAAGTATACATGTTTGTTAGGATTATTCCTACCCTACTACCTAGCACAGATATTATGCATTATATGATGTGTCCTCGCTTCTAGTTAATGAGTCGCTGACAAAAAATAGCAACCTCTCGTGTCACCTCCTTTCCGATAGTTGCCAGCGGGCCTTGGTTCTGGGTTTGGGCCGACCATCGGAAAGTCGGACCGCCGTTCACCTGGGTGTAAGTGACCTACTGAGTTGGTCAACCCCTGTCCGATTTCCCACTGGGCACTTCCGTATTCTCAGGAGGAAGAGGCCTCTCCTAAACGAGAAGGAAAGAAATGTACTCGTATATCAAACTCCCACCTAACAGCAAGGAAAGAGGGCAACTAACCTAGGTAGATACTCTAGATACCTCTTTACTTTTGGAGTAAAGCTCGATGCCCGTAGTTTTGTACACATCCTCTAAGATCTCAGCATATTACCTATACGTGTACAGCATTTCATACCTCGAGGGCTAAAAGTCTTTTGCTTCTCTAGTTAGTTAGGTAGGTAGGTAGGTAAGAGGGTACGGTAGTGGTAGGTAGGTATAATATTATGCGCAAGCCTAATAATCTACATGTGAATCATTGCTTTAAGTACATACCTACCTAACCGGCTCTGCAATGTCCCGTCATCCGTGTACTACCTACCCCTTTTTATCAGCCATCCATGCATCTACTAAGATTAGTCATTGAGTTGGGGGGGTCTGTCTCATCATGGTTGGGTTCACCGGCCTTGCACTGTGGGAGAATATGTAGTGTAGTGTACTATGTAGGTAGATGGGTAAAGTAGGTACCTACCTTATGTTAGGTAGTCTAGGTTAAGGTAGGTAAGGTAGGTAGGTAATGCTGTATGCTGTAAGACACCGGATCGAATCGGATCCGATCGGTTCCCCAGTGCTTGATTGCTTGCTTGCTTGCTGGTGATACACTCCAAATGTAAGTATATGTATATGTAGTAGGTAGGTAAGTAAGTACTCACGAGTAGTACTGGTTCCTATAACTCACAAGGCAATAACCTACCCACTTAGACTTGTAAATAGGTACTGTGTGTCGCTAGAAGTCTATCATTATCCTACGGACGGATAGAGGATACAGTCCGATATTACTCGTATATCTCTGCAAGTTGGTGAACAAGATAAAAACTCCAATTTCCCATGCATATGTAATATTTACAGAGGCATGAATAAGGAAAAAAAATTAAAAAAATTAACGCTACCATTCAACGAATGGCAAATCATGCATTCCTGTCCGTCGCTTTCACAAACATCTTGGGTTTCTGCCATAACGTGTGCATGTGTGAGTCTCGATGCCAATCCATCGACTCGTTTACGAGGTTGAGATCAAATCGCCATATCAACTTTGCCAGCGTCAACCGTAGCTCTAGCATCGCGAGGCTAAGGATAAATATTACTTGGTTAGCAAAGCGTCTTTTATCAGGGGCGAAAAAGGGGGGAAAGGGGATAAAGGAGGTGCGCAGAAGGAAGTGTCAACATACCCTTTTCCTATACAAGATCTACTACCCAGAGAGAATGGCTGCGAAGCGTCGAGCTTGTCTTCCGGCTCCTCTCTTA